AAAAAAAAAAACAGTTTTTTCCTCGATAGCGATTCTTCTTTTTTACTCCTTTGATAATTGAATAATCAAGAAATGAAAATTTTCATGATCTATTTAAGTAACAGGGCATAACCATAAACTGTATTAAACGATACATATAATCCTCAATATATTTTGCATGTTAAAGAGGCTATTAAAAGAAAAATCACAAACACAAAACTAAATAGAGCCAAAGAAACAAAATAAGTCAATTATTCAAAAGTGCAAATACATTAAAACACCATGAATAACATGTAAAGTTAAAAGGATAGCTCAGTGTACAAAGCATCTCTCGTTCACGTTGGGACCGGGGAAAGGATGCATCCCACGGGTGTGATGTAAACAGCCTACCCTAATACAAGTATTAATAACTGTTTCTACGGCTCGAGCCCATAGATCACGTAAAAACAACTTTACCGTTGCTCCACGGTTCCCCTTCAAACATGCCGAGCAATAACCAAAAAAAACTAAAGAACCAACATAACATTAGACCTAAAATAACCATAGACCCTAATGTAGAGATTATTATTTCCTTAATCCCCACACTACCAAAAACAAAATCCCTTTGCCTATTGTTTATTAATTAAATTGATATTACTATAATAATCTAATTAACAGTATCATCAATTTCAGGACCTTCAAATGCCCAAGGAGCATCATTAATAATCTCTTTCTCTTCTTCTTCAGTAAGATCATTAGTAATCTTTAACATCTCACGAACTGCTCTAACACTCTTGTTCTTCAATCTATCAGCTGCAGATTGACAACATAATTCCATCAACTCGTGAATGTTCAAATAATTTGCTGCCATTATTACGTCGAAAAGCTCTTCCCATCCCATGTTTACGAATTTCTCGTCGAATTCCTTGAGATCTTCTTCCTCACCTGTAGAGGTAGCAATATCATCTCATTTATTTGTAACTTTGTCCGAGCTTAAACAAAAAATAAGACTTTACTAAACAAGCGAGAAAGACCCTTTCTATTTTATTAGTCTAAGCGTTAACGAGCAAGAAAATAGATGCGCTAAGAAGCAATGACTTTCGCAGCTGCTACGATCTTGCTTCTTGTCTTTATCTTACTTAGTAAAATAACCTTTTGCATTAGGGGCACACCTTTTCTGGGTTTCCTAAAATAGAATATTTGGACGTTGATAAAGACTCACCTCTTGTTTCAGTTAGAATGAGTCCGCCAATACATTGGACATTGGCTTCCGCCACTAGTGAACTATTAAACGGGGTTGGTTATGACTCATTTATTGATTTAACCTAATAGGTTGAACTCGAAATGACAATCAAAATATCGTGAAAATAGCACGGGCTAGTTAGTATTCGGATTCGTAATAAAAATTAGTCAGCGTTTGCAAAGTCATTGAAAAATAGTCACTATTTTGCTGCAACACGGAAAGTTCCAACGTAATATACTGGAGATTAGTGCACATATGTATGAACTTCCAGCATATTATGCTGGAACTCTAGCACACGGAGAGTTCTAGCATAATATACTGGAGATTGGAGCACATGTGTATGAACTTCCAGCATATTATGCTGGAACTCTAGCACACGGAGAGTTCTAGCATAATATACTGGAGATTGGAGCACATGTGTATGAACTTCCAGCATATTATGCTGGAACTCTAGCACACGGAGAGTTCTAGCATAATATACTGGAGATTGGAGCACATGTGTATGAACTTCCAGCATATTATGCTGGATCTCTGGCACAAGAAAAGTTCCAGCATAATATACTGGAGATTGGAGCACCAGTGTAAGAACTTCCAGTATATTCCAGTATATTGTGCTGGAACTCAAGTATATTATGCTGGAAGTTCACATGTAAAAAGTTCGAATTCCAGTATAATATGCTGGAATATTTTCCGGATTTTGAACAGTATTTTCGTTTAGATTTATCTTTACATGAAAAGTGACTAAATTTTGATTACTTTTGAAACTGTCACTATTTTCCAATTATCAATTGTAAATCTGGCTATTTTTGAATTTCATCAAGTCAAATGGGCCAAAATAATATAACCGGACGGGTCAAAATCCAACCAACCCCAAACATTAAGGATCAAATTTTGAGATTACAAATTATATCAATTTGGAAAAAATTGATATTTATGTCAATTTGGGGACTAAGAATTATGTTAATTTGAAAGAATTATATCAAGAACCTAAAAGGTTAAAAAAAAAATCGAGTCATGCTGGGCATCTTAAATTAAGACCAATTATGTGTTCCATTTTGTATCCTGTATTTCGTATCCTGTATTTCATATTTCATATCTCTTATATATTGTTGTTATTTTCATTACGCATTTTTATGGTACTAATATATCATCTCCTATTGTTTTTTTGAGCCGAGGGTCTCCTGGAAACAGCCTCTCTACCCTTCGGGGTAGGGGTAAGGTCTGCGTACATATTACCCTCCCCAGACCCCACTTGTGGAATTATACTGGGTCGTTGTTGTTGTTGTTGTTGTATGTGTTCCATTTTGACCCAAGCAAATTTTGGACGGGTTGGATTATAATTCATTTCTTAAATTAGACCTCTCCAAATTTGACTCAACTCGCTCATTTACCAACTCTACTCACCTGCTTTCGCCACCTTTCCCTTGTCCTTGTCCTTGTCATCGTCCTCGTCCTCGTCTTCGTCCCTAGTAATGTGCTTGTTGAGATACTCAATGACCTTGCTTAGGGTAATGCTATCTATATTTGGAAGTGGAATAACACTAGTAGCGCATCCATCTTCGATCATGTTCTTGATCATTTCGGATTGAATAACTGCAGCTTCTTCAACTTCAAATTCCTTATCATCATTTGATTTTAATGTCACCATTTTCTTGCCTTCGGTTGCCATAATTAAATTAAAGTTTTTCTATATTTTTCAGACAAAAAAGAAGAAGATATAAATATGAATGAAATGCAGTGAAGTGTTATGGGAATTTTGGGATTTATTATTGGTATATATGTAGGTTACAAAGTCCCGTCAGTAATGGATCATGTTGATTAGAAATTGACAAAAAGAACGTAACGAATTCCGAAAGACCAATTCATATTTGGTTTTGGAAAAAGGGTGTCCTTTTTTCTAGTTCTTTTACGGACAAGATAGATCGTGAATTAAGGGACAAAGACCTTAATTTTGTTTTTGTGTTTTTCTTTTTCTTTTTTAATTTTGTCATTAGAGAGAGGAGGATTTCACTTTAGATAAGTGCTACTTATTTAAACTCCCACTCTTTATAGAGTAGGAATAATTATGTGAGTACAATAATAGTAAATGAGCGATTGAAACTTTTATCCTTATCTCTATTTTAGAGGATAGCTCTCGTAAATAATATTTTTAGACGTTACACTCTGTATTATAGGTGAATTCCTTTTTAGCTCAACGTGTAATTCATTAAGTAGAGGACAAGATGAGTTGAGACTGAGACGGTTTGGGTAAGTAAAAAGGAGGAGTACAGATGTTCTTGTCATGAGATGTGAGAGGTTGGTCATGGCAGGTCTGAGAAGAGGTAGACGTAGCTAAAGAAGTATTGGAGAGAGGTGATTAGACAGGACATGGCATTACTTCAGCTCATTGAGGTTATGACCCAGGATAGAAGGGTGTGGAGGTCGAGGATTGGGGTAGAAGGCTAGTAGGTAGTCGAGAGTTCCCCATTCTTTTTTAGTAGTATTAGTAGCGCTCTTATTTTTTCGTATTCTTTGACCTCTAGTGTTTGCCTATTGTTCCGTTCGCTTCGTGTACCGTATTTTCCTGATTGTTACTATTTGGTGTTACTTTTTCTTTTACTTGTTGTTGTTGTTGTCATCCTCAGTCTTTTTCTCTCTTTTTTCTTATCGTCCTTTGTCTCCCTCCTCTTTCTGTCTTCTCCCTCTTTCTTCTTCGTCTTCTTCCCTTTTTTCTCTTTTCATCTTTTCTTGAGTCGAAGGTCTATCATAGTTTCTCTACCTCGCCAGGTAGGAGTAAGGTATGTGTGCACGTTACTCTTCTCAGACCTCACTTGTGGGACTATAATGGGTGTGTTGTTGTTGTGTTATTCTTTGAGTGCACTTAAAGTTAAATTGTTATTATATATAGAAAAATGTCATTCTTTTGGGATTGACTAAAAAGAAAAAAAAAATATCATATGAATTGAGATTGAGGGAATAATTTTGTACAACTTAACCCCAAAGTTGATTTTTCTGGTCAACTCGACCAATTACTAGAGTAATTATACCTATGATTCTTGAAACACAAACTCGTAGCTAGTAGTATTTTGATAATCATGAATAACAACAAATATTACACGTCAATTTCAAATAAGTTACAGAAAACTTTGACAGTCTAATATCATATAATAATAATAATAATTTGGGCTGTCAAAGTTAACTAGAGAGAAATTAATTTCAGAAAGAAGGATTAGTTAATTTTTGAAGAAAATGAGAAAAGAGTAGAAGAGATGCAAATGCACTCCAAATAATTCTGATTTATTATAATGTAAATAAAAATGAAGGATGCATGTTAAGCATTATACTGTTGGTCCATTTTATTGAGGTTAAAACCGCTTTTCCCTCGTCTTGGCTGAGGGCTTTCTCTCTCTGCCACGAGAGCTATTTCCTCCTTGTGAGGTCTCTATCATTGTTGCTAATCACTTAATTTCCACTTCTCAAATCTCACTTTCTAAAGCTTTGCCAATAGGAAACCTAATAATTAACGATTTCATCCTCTGTGGGTATCAATTTGTACAAATTTCCTATTTTCTACTAAATCCTAAATCAATTTGATTTCTAGAAGAACTCTATGTTTTGGTGCAAACAGGTTAAATATACTGCTGAATCAACTCCAATAAGAGCGGGAATCCTTCAATTGGAAAGATGGCTGATGAAATTACTAAACGCCTAAATAAATTTATTCTTACTGAGGAAGAAAAGGATGTTGTGGCAATTGAATATCTAGATATTCAGTCAAGTATGAAGGATTGTGAGGTAAGTCTTTTTGGCAAGGTGATTTATGATAAAAGGGTGAATTTTTGGGGAGTCAAAGATACTATGCCATTAGTTTGGGGGCACCCAGTAGGACTCCGGATAAAGGAAATCGGATGGAACTTTTTTCAATTTATTTTTAAAGATAAGGAAAGTAAGGATAAAGTATGGTTTGTTACACCATGGTTGTACGACAAATACCTTCTTAATGTCCATCCTTGGGAACCAGGTTTGAAGAGTAATTCCCAAGTGTTTAATATCTGTAATCTATAGGTTTAAGTTTGGAATATCCCATTACATTGGATGTCAAAGTATGTTGGGCGCAAAAAAAGACAGGCTTTGGGAGGTACCGTTGATATTGTAATCCCTGAAAGTGGAAGCAAAGAGGAGCAATATATGAGGATTAAAGTCACGATGAACATTAACAGGCCACTACCTAGGGGAAAATTGATCAAGTTAGGCTTGGAAACAACTGGGCTAAAATAAGATACGAAAACCTACTTTATGTTTGCTACTACTGTGGTATGCTAGGACACAACTATAGAACTTGTGTACAAAGAGAGAAGGATATAAGATCAGGCAATCTCAAAAGTGACCAGTTTGGGACATGGTTACGAGCATAGAATCATTTACTAGCTTCAGATAATCAGCGTCGTCAAGGTGTAAATACTAATAACGATGGGCATACTAGGGTGAAAAATCATAGCTTTACACTGGTTGAAGGAAAAGGAGTTGCAGGAAGTAGTAAAAGTCTGCTAAATTTAGCAGAGGGTACCACCTCGGTTGAAATGCAGTCTGACATAAGAAAGAGGATCTTCATGGGGACCAAATGTAGCCCATGGAAGCAACAAATTATGGATCTAGAGAGAAGGAGAGTGCAGAAGTTTGGAATAACACTGGGGTTGGAACTTCTGATGGTATTAAAACTACCTCAATGCGAGGTTTGAATATTGGCTTGGAGAAGAAAGATGTGCAGAAGCAGATTCCAGTGGATGAAAATATGTTGAATGACACAATAGAGCTACAACAAAACGTATTGCAAGTTGCCTTACAAATGCAGGATGCAGGCAACCAAAATATGAAGGAATTTCAAGATAGCATAGACAAGGTATGTCCAGATCCTTTATTGAGCTCTCCTAAGTTACAACTACATATAGTGAATAATTCTCAACTACTCGATAATTCAAAACAAAACTCTTTAACTGTTAGTGCTATTACTAATAAGAATACATGGGACATAAAGAGAAAACAATGGAAACAAAAGGCTAATATTAAGGGTTGTTCTGATGATGTTAAGGGAAACAATTTGGTAGGTTTGAATGAAAATTATCTTATTGAGGTTGCTGTGATAGAGGAAAACATGCATACTGTGGGGGATAAAAGAAAAGAACAAACTAGTTTTGATACTGAAACGGAAGTTAAAAAACAGAAACAAGTGGTGGAGTGGGAGGCCAGCCCAAAATGGCTTCCCTCCATGCAATGAAAGCTTTAGTGTGGAATTGTAGAGGCCTGGGGGGTTCTTAACAGTTCCCTTTTTGAAGGAGACAATGCGTCTCCACTCCCCAAGTATGATTTTCTTAAATGAAACAAAAAATAGAGATAGAACAGTGCAGAGAATTCAGAGACAACTGGATATGGCACATGCTATTACCGTGGAACCAATGGGTTTATCAGGTGGACTAGCCTTATTTTAGAATGACAACGTCCAGGTATGTCAATATCACACTTCTTCTTTTTTTGTTGAAACTTTGATACATGATGTCTTATCTGATTGCAAATATTAGTGTATCTTTGTGTATCTATGTACGGATAGAATTAATCGTCGATCTCAAATGCAAGAATTAATTAAAATATCTTCATAATGGGGCATTTTCTGGGTCTTAGCTGGTGATTTAATGATATTTTTGATGATTCAGAAAAACACGGAGGAAGAACTAGAGATAATTGGACCTTTAGAGACTTCAAGGATTTTATTTGGAACTTAGGTGCAATTGACTTGGGATACAAAGGAAAACCTTGGACCTGGTGGTGCTATCGGAAAAATGGGGGTATTATTCAGGAAAGGTTAGATAGGGTCTTAGTCTCCCCTAATTGGAAAATAAAGTTTGAAAAGGCTAATTTAACTCATCTTGATACTGACTTTTGTGATCATTCCTTGTTAATTTTGTCTTCACATACTGAACAAATTAAGAAGAAAAGACGTTTTTACTTTGATAAAAGGTGGGCTGATCGTGAAGAGGTTCAGAATATTGTATCTGAAGCTTGGTCCGATGACTATATTGGGTTCGAGCAATCTCGAGTTAACTTTAAAATAAAGAAGTGTCGTAGATCCTTAGTGGCTAGGGTAAGGGGAGGAAATGGTAATGCTAGAGAGAGAATTATTAGTATTAAGAAACAGATTACAGACTTTAGAAGTGAGGCTAATAATTTTGATTGGAATAAACTTAGGTTGTTAAAAAGGGAATTAAGTCAAGCTTATAAAGAAGAAGAGATTTTCTGGAAACAAAAGTCTAGAGTCTTACGGTTGCTGGATGGCGATAAAAATACGTCCTATTTTCACATGGCAACCTTACAAAGAAGAAGAAAAAATATAATTAGGGGTTTTCAAACATCTGAAAGGAGGTAGGTGGAAAAAAAATATAATTAGGGGTTTTCAAACATCTGAAAGGAGGTAGGTGGAAAAAAAATATAATTAGGGGTTTTCAAACATCTGAAAGGAGGTAGGTGGAAACAATCTCTCTACCCTTCGGGGTAGAGGTAAGGTCTGCGTATATATTACCCTCCCCAGACCCTATTTATGGGATTATACTGGATTGTTGTTGTTGTTGTTGTTGTTGTTGTTGAAAGGAGGTAGGTGAGTGATCAAACTGAAATAGTTCAAGAAGTTGAGGCTTATTATGATACACTATTCTCTACATCTAACCCGACAAATTTCGAAAGTATTCTAAATCATGTCAATGTAATGATTAGTGACTCTATAAATCGAGAACTCATAAAAGATGTTAGTGAAAAGGAAGTCAAGAATGTGGTGTTCGCTATGCATCCTCTTAAAGCACCAGGTGTGAATGAAATGACTCCTTTATTTTTTCAAAGATATTGAAATATTATCTCAAAGGAGATTTATAAAGATATTAATAGTTTCTTCACTACAGGATACTTAATTCCTTCGTGGAACCATACTTTAATCACTGTAGTACCTAAAGTTAAAAGCCCTACTTTGGTATCGCAATTTAGACCCATAAGTTTATGTTCTACTCTTCATAAAACAATTGCAAAAAATCTTGCTATGAGAATAAAAAATCATTTAACTAAGGTTATATCTCCGACTCAAGCAGATTTCGTTGGACATAGATAAATAATCGATAGTTATCTTAGCACATGAATTTATGCATCTTCTAAAAAATAAACGCAGAGGTAGAGAAAAATTTATGGCGACGAAATTGGATATGTCAAAAGCTTATGACAGAGTTGAATGGATATATATCCAAAAAATGCTTTTGCAAATGTGTTTTCATGCCAAATTTGTAGAATGGATTATATATTCAATGTATTTCTACCCCTACCTATAGTTTTAACATAAATGGGTTAGTTGGATCAGTTAGGCTGACTAGATCAATACGACAAGGAGATCCGCTATCACCTTATCTATTTTTAATATGTGTAGAAGGTTTCTCTACTTTATTGAAGATTTCTGAAACTCAAAATGAAATTCAAGGTCTAAAGTTAAATAGACATGGGCCGAGCTTAACTCACTTATTTTTCGCAGATGACTCTTTTATATTTTGTTTAGCTAATGCGCATAATGCAGTCCATGTAGCTAAGATTCTAAGAAAGTATGAGCAAAGTTCTGTGCAAGTGGTTAATTTAGATAAATCAACTATTTATTTTAGTAGAACTGTAATGGAGGAGGAGAAAGTAGAGATATGTTCTTTACTTGGACAACAACAAAGAAATAAGATGGGTATGTATTTAGGATTACCAGCTATCGTGGAACGCTCAAAGAAAAAGATGTTAGAGTTTATTAAGTATAGAGTCAAGACAAAAATAAAAGGATGGAAGGGTAAATTTTTAAGTACAGCAGGGAAAGAAGTAATGCTTAAATATGTACTTGCACAAATCCCTACCTATGCCTTGTCTTGCTCCCAACTCTCTGATGGTCTGTGCAAGGAGATTACATCTCTTTTTTCTAACTTTTGGTGAGGACAAACCGAGGATAAAAGGAAGATGCATTTTGAGAAATGGGAAAGATTATGTGATTCTAAATCAAGAGGGGGCTTAGGATTTAGGGATTTAAAGGCTTTCAATATGGCTTTGTTAGCTAAACAAGCTTAACGTATATTGTCGTACCCGGATTCGTTGTTAGAAAGAGTACTTAAAAGTAAATACTTTCCACACTCAACTTTCTTTGACGCTTCTATATCATCTACTAGATCATGGATCTCGAGAAGTATTTTGTGGGAAAGAGATCTATTAGGTAATGGATTAAGGTGGAGGATTTCTGATGGAAAAAATATAATGTTTGGACTGATCCTTGGATTCCAAGAAATAATGATTTTACTCCAAAGTATTCAAATGCAAAACAATTTAGATCTTAAGGTTACCGAATTAATTGATGAAGATACGCATACCTGGAAACTTCATAAGATAAGTACAACCTTTGAACATGAAGATGTAGATGCAATTTTGTCTATTCCAATATCCATCATAGGTCTTAATAATAGATTATTGTGGCATCACTCAAAATCTGAAAACTATGAAGTTAAGTCAGGTTACTATTTAGCAAATGGTCTGGCGGGTAAGTGTAGACATGTGATTTTTGACCCTCCCCAAGATTTTTTTATATTAGCGTAAAATATTTAATTTAGGCATAATATAGATATTTTAAGTAATTTTGACTCTTTTACTTTATTTTATTACAAGAAAACAAAAAATCACAAAAATAGGTTCATTAATGTTTTGTAGTCATTTTTAATCTAAAAAAATCTTTAAAAAATATATATACAATAATAATATCGTATTTTTATTTTAATATGATATTTGAAAATACCAAAAATAGATTTGTTTTAATGGTTAGTTTTATTTTAGTAATTATTCGAATAGCAGGAATAATTAATAAATGGGCCCGTATTTTTAATCTCGTTCGCAGCGAAAGGATAGAACTTGGGCTCGAGCAACCAATTTTTAGGCCTAATTTTGGACATAGCCCACAATTGTCAAGCCCATAATTCCTAGGCCCATACCCCTTAACCTAAAAACCCTACAAAACTAACCTAGACCTATGTATATATAAGAAGCTAACACCTAACGAGGGAAAGGGGGTCTGAAACAAAGGCTGCGCATGAAAAACGAAACGCTGAAAACAAGAAGAAAATAAAAGTTGAACGAAAAAGAACAGAAAAGGGGAGATAACAAAGGAGGGGCTGAAAACGACGAAGGCTGACAACGAAAGGCTGGAAAAAAAACGAAAAAGTAGCACAGCCATACACAAACGACCCCACCCCCCTGNCATTCTCATCTTCTTCAACAACAACCAACCACTCATAACCCAGCACCAAAAGCTGTCGCCGAGCTCCATCACTGCCATAGCAGCCCACCCCCGCACCAGCCCATCGCCAGACCTTCCGCTAGCGACTACCATTGAAACCGGCGAGCACACACACACACACTGCTACCGTTCTGCCCTCTACTGCCTTTATATCGTCGGAGTCACATCGTCGACGATGAACGAATAGAAAACAGCCCATTGTTTCATCACCATTGTTCCCATGAGTTTTACTTCCATGTTGGATGGGTGTAGATCTTTCAAGACCTGGATTTTGTGACGTCTTGTGTCGAGTTTGGCCGGAGGTAGTTCTTTGGCAGTTCTTCGTGTGTGTCGCGTCGACTGTTGCTCCAGTGTCTCCATTGTTGTGGTAGTGGCGTCATTTAGGTTCAAGGGTGCCGACGAGGTTTTCCGGCCAAGTTCCAGCTTTAGCTCTTATTCACATATTATTACTACAATCGGAGAGGACATCATTTTAAGGTCCGTCTTTTACTTTGTTTTTTTAAGTTTTTGTTTGTGTTTTTACCTCTTATGATTGAGAACGCTGACGACTGTTCATCCCGTTTTGGTTAGAGTGGGGTTCATAATTCAAGTGTTCCTTTGTATGTATTTCCATCGACAATTTGGCAAATGTTGACTGAGTTGGAATTTCGTTTATTTCTGAAATATTTAAAGCTATGCATGTGTGTGAATTGATTTGTTCATATACCTTAGCCTAATATCTCGCATTCACGTGAAATCTTTTTTGGAATTTGAGACTATTGTTCATTTTACTCTAGCTTAATGTTAATTGTTTGCCCGGCGATATGATTCTATTATTTGTGCAGTTGATCTCTGTGGTTTTGAATTTGTTCGCTCGGTTATCCTCTCGTGTTTACTCGAATTGGTTATAGCTGAACATGATTTTGTTCCAGTATAGAAATTGGATTGCTGAATTATGTCAATTAGATTAAAGGGGCTCGGGTGTGCATTTCATGTGACCCTGCCATAATTTTGGATAATAATAATAATGAAATAAGCATGTTAAAATTCGGGGGTGCATTTCATGTGACCCGGTTCTCATTTCCAACAAGGTTAAATAGAGTGTGTCGTGAACCACGGGTGCATTTCATGTGGTGTGGCTTGCGATATGTTTTAAATGACCTTGAATTAATTCTTTAAATAAGTAAAAACGGTTTTTCAAAAGTTAAAAAATGCACTTAGGTTTCATAATTGTTTAAAATCAGATAATTAAGCTAAATATAGCAGTTAAGCGACCGTGCTAGAACCACGGAACTCGAGAATGTCTAACACCTTCTCCCGGGTTAACAGAATTCCTTACTCGGATTTCTGGTTCGCGGACTGTTAAACAGAGTCATATTTTCCTCGATTCGGGATTCAACCGGTGACTTGGGACACCATAAATCTCCCAAGTGGCGACTCTGAATCTTTNCCGTGCTAGAACCACGGAACTCGAGAATGTCTAACACCTTCTCCCGGGTTAACAGAATTCCTTACTCGGATTTCTGGTTCGCGGACTGTTAAACAGAGTCATATTTTCCTCGATTCGGGATTCAACCGGTGACTTGGGACACCATAAATCTCCCAAGTGGCGACTCTAAATCTTTATCATAAATTCCGTTTCGATTGTCTTTTAATTGAAAAAACTCCTTTATACCCTTCCGGGGGTGTAGGTAGAAAAAGGAGGTATGACAACTCTGGCGACTCTGCTAGGGAGTCGAACCCAGAATCTCTGGTTCAGGGTTCAAGAATTCGAGCTTAGATGAATTGTTATATTTGGCTTTATTTATTATCTGATTTTATTACATGTTTGGGCCTAATGTGCTAAATATTGCTTTTACCGCTTGGATATTATCTGAAATGTATATATAAATTGCTACGAAATCCCTCTCTTCTCTCTCTTGAGGAGTCCACGCTGGTCGTGACTTCTTTCTGTTAGTGTCATATCCCAAATAGAACGAGGTTCGGACAAGTTGCAAAGCCGGATGATCTTTTGGTTACTGGTACGCAGCCCCCCCTCGGCTCGAGTTGTCCGCTCGGGTAAGCCAGGTCTAGAACAAATAAACCCAAGTTTTTAAACCTAGAAAAACAAGATCTCATGCCGGATCCCTAGTAGGAACGTTGTCGCATCACGTGCATTTGATTTAGGGGACTCAACACAGGGGTTGGGTCCGTCTAGGACACGTGTACCCAAAATAATAGACCATCTTGATGCATCCTATGTGCTACATGTTGCATTTCTTCAAGGGTAAAAGGGTCATTTGGAGGACCAATGATAATTGAGGGCGAATGAAGAAAAAAAAAGAGAAAAAAACAAAAAAGAGAGAGTGAAGTGTGAAGATAAAGCGAGTTGGCCCAATTATGTTGTTAAAAAAAAAGAGCTTGAAATTTCAAAAAAAAAAATTGCACTTTTTCATCCTTTTCCGAAAATCAGAAAATCAATCAAAAAAAAGAGGAAAAAGAAAATCCAAAAAGATTTTGCATGTTTCATCATTTTTCAAAAAAAAAAGACAAAAAATGTGTTTTCTCTAAAATTAGTTATTATTTTTTTTAATTCTTGCCCGTATCCAATTTGCCCGAACTACGCAAACCTGATTCTCGTCTCTCGGGGCGGGATACGTAGGCAACCCACATAGGGTCCGGTCTTCCTAGTAAGTCTTAGGTTCTTGGCTTTGCGGGGTCATAGCCAAATTTTGCACTTTTAGCCACCTTTTGGCCAAATAAGCCATTTTTTCAAAAGTAGCCTCAATTATGTCTTGCATGTGTCTAGTAGAGAATGTTATCGTCTCACATAGTATTGGTTCAAGTTTTCTTATATAGGTGTGGATTTATTTATCGGAGTTGGAGCATGACGGAGCCCTAGGACATCTAGTCAGGATCACTGCATTCAGAAGTTGCTCGAGAAGTCATTTCATATTTTTGACTCAATTGTTCATGTTTTACTTTCTAGTCATGTATAGTAGTATTCGGTCTTTTAGGTGAGGTTAGAGTTTGTAATAGTCTAGTTAAGTTTGTCTAGTCTTTTATTATTGTATTCCTTATTTGGTATTTGGAAATGTGTTACAAGTCAAAAAAAAAAAGAATTGCGTTTTTATATTTTCATTATAAGTTTTCTTTAGAATACTAATTCTATAAATGAAAAAAAATTCTTTTGAGGTTGTTTTTCCTTTAGTCAATTAATATCAAAATAAAAATTGCTTTTATATTTCCTTTAGTATATTAAGACCAAAAATTCAAAAAAAAAAGAATTTTCTTTAGTACCTCTTTAAAAGTTTTCTTTTAAGATATTAAATCCAAATATCCAAAAAGATTTTCTGTTGAGGTTTTTCTTTGGAAAATTGATGAAAAATGACTTGAAAAAAAATTCTTTTATTTTTATTAGAACTTTAGGACATTGTACATATAAGAAAAACAAAACAACAATACTCTTTCTTTGGTTTATTTTCGGAGTTTCTTCCTTAGGTAATCAAAATTCAAATCCAAAAACAGTTTTTTTTTATCTTTTTCATTTCTCGTTTCGAAGTCTTTTCTTCAGGATATCAAGTGAAAATTCAAAATATTTTTCTTTGGTCTGGCCTTAAGATTTCCTTCTTAAAAAAGAAAAAAAATCAAAAAAATATTTTTTTCTCTTCTAGGGATTTTCCTTGATAATTTCCCATAGAGTATTTATTTCAAAAAGCAAAATATATGCTCGTTAGGCTTGAGTTTAGAATAGGTTATAGAACATTAAGTCTAGAATTTTTAAAAAACAAAAAGAGATTTGTTTCTTTTATTTCCCTTTTCTCGTCAAAGTCATTAAGGTAGAAACAGAGAACGTCAGTTTGTTTCCTTTATTTTCGATCTTCCTGAACTATGCAAAGATCCGATTCATGCGGGGTCATGATACGTAGGCAACCTACATAGGGTTCGATCGAATCATTTTTTTATTATTATAAAAAGAAAAAGAGGAAAAAAGAGGAGAAAAAAAGGGAAACGAAAAAAAAAAGAGGTGAAATTGTGGGATGTGAGATATGAGAGAAAGAAAAGAGTGGTGATGAAAAAAAAAAGGAGAAATGAAGGAAAATGGGCAAGCCAGCAAGTGCTAGAAAAACAAAAAAAAAAGAGGTTGAAATGAACAAATTGGGATGATGTCAACTGACCTTTGTCCCCTCGAAGTCATTTTAGAATCGATAACTGTGGCTAGGTGCATTGCACATAAAATGAGATTATCTTATGTTAAATGCCCTAACGCTAACGTGATGACTTCATTTTGTTATATTCATAGCAGAAGGGTGGTTGGTTTGTGGTTTTAAAGTGGTAACTCTTCTCTGCAACATAAAGTCAAAAGGCAATGGCAGACAACAACAGAACTGAGTTGGTTGACACCGGCGCTCAAAAGCAGTTGGTTGAAGAGGTAACGATGTTAAAATAACACATGGCTGACATGTATCAGGCTTGGATGACTGGGAAGGCACTACCCCCGCCACCACCTAGCTTCCTAGATACTGCCCTTACCCAAACTCCGGACACAATGTCATATGATCCTCCATACTCTCCAGATCTACCCGCTTATCACAGCTTTCCCAACCGTCTTAGTAGCTCCATCACTCATCCTCCAATTACCTCTCCCCAAAATCACCCTCATGTCACATCTACTATCCCCGACAATGAATACCCACTCAAAGCTCACGATGACCAATATTACCCCTCAAGGGTTGCCCACAAGGTTCCTAACTCATACAAGCAGGGCCCGCGGGATGAACCTCATGTTGAAAA